ACACACGCACAATTTATGTAAATTCTTCAAGTTGCCCAATGTAGACGGAATGTTGCCTGTGAGGTGTTTGTTGTATAATAAATCTCTGTCACAAATGATCAATTATAGAAATAATTATTAGTGTATTCGGACAAAGTAAAGCCAGAACTAAAAATCTGTATATCTATATATTTGGGTCGACGAGAAATTAACGTACAAGTATGTTAAACTGGTAAGCAGTCCAAAGGTATCGGGTATTTGACCACTAATTTTAGTATAAGATATCGTCCTATCATAATAAACCAATCAATAGAAATAATGTGAGATAAAATAAGATTAATCTGATTAAAGAGCACTCACCATTAATCTTGTTCACGCGCGAGTAGAATTATTCCAATGTAAAATTGCAGCAAATGACAGCAAATGATGATGAACATACATTTTAGTCCAAATCAATTAAGTACATTAAGAGGTCAAGTAAATTTACTAACGTGAGAAGACAAATGCCATTTTTTAGTATGGACAAAATGTAACCAATAATACATAAAAGTAAAATTATAAAAAAAAATGCAATGTAACAAAAAATAAAAAATAAAAAATAAAAAAAAATTACGAAAATCTTATTTGAAAAAAAGGTTCTCCACGAACTTTCATCATATGAATGGGGTTTATTCATTTGAAACCAATGAAAAAGTAGCATCTAATTGCAATGAACTACAAGGCCAAAAAAATCATTCCAATAATATTTTTGTTTTTCCCCTTTATCATCAATAAAAAATTAAATAGTTAAAAAAAATAGAAGGAAATGTAAGATATTTTTGTTTTTCCCCATTTTCATCAATAAAAATATTAAATAGTTAAAAAAATAGAAGGAAATGTAATTGACAATGCTACTTTTGTGAATTATTTGTAGGTTTTTATGTAATTACTTTTATTTCTCTTCCCTATAGTTTAAATTTTTGTTTTATTTTGTGGGTTTTAATTAACCTTGTAATACATCCAGATTTTTTATTGGGGTTTTGTGACAACTCAAGAACCCCATCGAAGGTTGTTTTATATTCAAAATAATGCAAACTTATATCTTGATGATTAGAAATACTTGTGCTTAAATATCACATACAAAGCCTTTAGGTAAGTCAAGTCGGCAAGCCCCTCGGCGATGTCGTCAAGAAGACCTGTTAACTCCATACAATTTTCCGAAAGATTGCTGGTGATAGAAATTTCATAAAAGTAAAATGAGATTAAAACTTCATTTAGAAACTAGATCATAACATTATGAAAATGGGGGAGAAATAATAATACTCTTACATCCAATAGACAAAACCTGAGCGGCAGACGATGTTAGAAAACTTGCAAGGGTTGCCGTTTTGGTCCCAATTTTGCATACAATCTTCAGTTCCATTTAACAGGTTCTTTATGTCCACTAAAACTTGAGCTATCAATCAAAACAAAAGTTGTAATCGTGCTCGATAAACATTCACAAGCATAAATAAAATGAAATATGATCTAGACAATAAAGAATGACAATCGAAAAACCTTCTTTATTCACATCATCAGCATAAATACTGCTTAGAGGTTGCAACATTAAGATCACGAAGATGAACACGTTACATACTTTTTCCATATTTCGTACCTTCACACTACACACAAACAAATACAACAACAAAACGAGATAAGTTTAAAACTCAGGTATGAACGAGTCTATCATGTCTTCTTTCCCCACCACTTTTATAGGCCAGTTTGAGGTTGGAGTCAACATCCTCTGCTAAATTTTCAAGTTAATTGATTCTCTACGATTGTTCTTTTCTTTGTCTTTTAAAGAAATCTCTCTTTATCAGAGTACATAATTACGACCAAAATTTTTGATACTTTATTTTTCCTTATGGAATAGTTATTAAATAATTTTGTCCTTTGAGAAAATATAACACCGGTACTATTCCTAAACATTTATATTTGACTTAAGGTACTAGGCCGTGTTAGCGTACATCATTTGTAAGACCAATTTCAATATTAAATTAACGGATGTGACGGACCAATGACGATTAATCCGCAAAGAATATATGTACAAAAAAGAAGGATCAAATTAGAATGAGTCTTCCATGAGAAATAAGAATGAATTATAACCGTAGAATATAATATATCAACACTTCAGGGCTGGTCAAATGCTCTACTGTTGGTCAAAGGGGCGGTGACATTGTTGTAATTATGGGTACTTTTTGATTTTTCACGCAATAGAATTTCTTTTATTTTTGCAGAATATGTTGTTACACAAAGGTGGATATTTATAGACATTACTGTGCATTTTCTTATAATATTGTGCATTTCATTTAAAACTATTGTCCATTTCTGTAGTGCGGTGGTGATTTGGTAAACTTGTGAACTTTTAACTGTTTAGGCGGTGACAATTCTATAATTTCAATTAAATATTACAATATTTTTAATGTGAACACTGTGAATATTATGGCATTGGGATAGCTATTATGCCAATTTCGTTCAAATAAACATATATACACTATTGTACAATTTTTTTTTTTTATCAATATTGTGCATATATTAAATTTTTAATAATTTATTTTAATAATTTCGTATATATGGAGGGTATTTTTGATGTGTATAGAAATGTCCCTGTACAATTAGGGTTAAATAGTTATACTCATATCGTTTATTTTTATCAATAACAAAATTTAAAAAATTTGACGTGCTCATTACTTAATTTATAATTTTAAATATTTCAAATACACATATATAACATATAAATTTTATTTGCATATATGTTCACGCGATATGTTTAAAATTCTCCAAGTCACCGCTCCACCAGTTTTAATTAAAGACCAACATGAAGGCTCGAGTGATCGTCAGCGCCAAAAATGTTAAATTACATGATGCTCTACAAATGTTAGTAGTTTATCTTTGATTGACTTTAGTTTTAAATTACCCCTTTTCTCTTCTAGAAATTCTTGACCAGTAACATCTCTCTGCAGTACTTATACATTTTATTTCCTCCTTTTTTGAGGTTGAATAATATTTTTGAATTGTGACACTATAAAATTCTCTTAAATTATATATATATATATATATATATATATGATATGAAGTCTCGCGTGATCATCTGCGCCAAAAATGTCAACTTAAATGATGCTCTACGAATTTTAGTATTTTTTCTTGACTTTAGTTTTTTATTAGCCTTGTTTGTTTAATAGCGTTTTGACAAAAAATTATCATATTGAGGGAATTCGCTTTTTCATTTGGTCAAAACAGCTGAAATTGATGTTTGGTTAAATGACTTTTTGTTCTAGCTTATTGGGTGAATAAGCTGAAAATAGAAACGCTAGAATTCAGAGCGGTTTGCACTAGCTGATTGAATAAATTTTTTATTTATTTCCTTACTTCTACAATAACTAATCTGGATAAATTATCCATCTATTTTTCTAATTTTGCACTAACTAATGAATTTGATTTCACGTTTTTATTTTTTAGTATTGAAAAATCCACATAACATAGCATTCATTATGAATGCTTCAAATCTCCATTTATTAACATAACACAGAGTATTGGTTTGAAATCATTTAGTTTTATGTTTAATTTATATTTTTATTTTACTTATTACTTTTACTATAAAGAACTTTTAAGAAAATAATTTGAAAATAGTTATTATATCAAAAATATTTTTCTGTAAATATAAATAATTAAACGAATATAACCAATGTATATATATAAAAATAATTTTCAAGTTAATAATACCAACATATTTTTACAAATCAATAAGCTATTTTTACCCAAACATACATTTGAAAACCGCTATTACTATCCATTGGTCAAACCAGCTGATACAATCCGCTGGTCAAAACAGCTATTACAATCAGCTAACAGCGAACAGCTAACCGCTGACTGCCAAACAAGGCCATTACCCTTTAACTCTCCTAGAAATCCTTGACCAGTATATCTCTCTGCAATACTGATACATTTTATTTCCTCTATTTTTATGGTTGAATAAATACTTTTGAATTGTGACGCTATAAAATCCTCTTAAATTTATATATATAGGGATCATATGAGAATGATTCTTAATGCGAGAAATAAGAATGGATCTGCACCATGGGATCAATCATATTAATGGTTAAGATCAAGTCAAATCTGATTACGTGGCAGTCAATCATTAATGGCAATTTCGTAAATAATTGTTGTTAGCATGGTCAAATCTAAGTCTTGACCACTAACCAAGGATAAATGTGACATTACAAATGTGGGCCCCACCACTATCTCCATTACCTTATCTCTCTTCCTCACACATTAACACACACAACTCACACGGTCACACCTTCACACACACACAGACTGTCACACACACATAACATGCACACACACACACACACACACACACACACTCCGACAGGCTCTCGTCACCGACCATCACAGCCCCGCCGCCCGGCCTTTTAAGCGCCACCGCCCGACCACAACAATGACGCCGCCCAGACATCAAATCGCCGCTGCCGGACATCAAAGCTCCGCCGGACTGGCCTTCCAAAGAACGTCACCTGGCCGTCCAAGCTCCGCCGCCCGTCCATCAAAGCACCGCCACCTGAAGCGTCGCCGACGACATCAACACACATTCGCCAGACCGCCACCATCGTCACCTACAAGCCGGCCGCCCGTCAACCCCGCCACCACCGCTCCTAAAAGCCCTGCCACCATCGTCGCAACTCGTCACCGCCACCAATCCCGTCCCGCATCTCGGAGAACCGCCGGCGATTCGGGGGCCGCAACATCACCACCCGAATTCAATTTGATAAGCAGATCTTTAGGGCGAGACCCTCTATGTCGGCGAGGGAGACCGGCAGGAGAGAAGAAGACGGCGGCGTTGCTATGCCGGAAGAGACGCCTGATGTGCAGGAGTGAACTTTCAATATCTCAGATTTGGATTTTTTGATTTGTGGTTCTATTTTTGGAATTTGATAAATATGGGGGATCTATTTGCAATTTTGAGAAATTGATATGTTGGTGCACATGTAATTGGTAAACCTAATGAATATATGCACAACACCATTACTTAAAATGCACAACATTGAATTAGAATATGCATATTATTTTTTTTTTTTTTACATTATTATGTAATTGCATAATTGTTTCATCTACACATTTAAAACACATTTAAAGTTCGCAAATTATCAAAATGTAACTGCACTTAGAGTCATTCATTGACGGTTTGGTCGAGCCATCTGATTGAAATAACAAATTTAAAATAATTGAGTTGATTTTTAGAAAACAAACAAACCAAAATAAATTTGACATCGAACCCACGTAACTGACGTTTAAAATAAAACACAGATAAATATTTTGCACAATATCTGACGTTTAAAATAAAACACAGATAAATATTTTGCACAATATCGTGAGGATATATGTACATTATAAATTAAAAAGAAAAGTTCAAGATGTCAACGCGTTACGAAAATGCACAATGTTGTTAATCAATTGACGTTGAAATTTCAACCTAATCAATTAATTTGTCGGTTAATATAGATAACCACATTACCGACATAAATTGTATAATTTATTATAGAAAACATGATTAGCATTCAATTTTCTTTTTATTTGATATTCCATATTATTGTTAATTAAGAAAACATTGTATATGTAAACGGGATATACCGTGCAATCTAACAGTCATTAAAGTGCAATTCGTCCATCAATATGGTGCACGTTGTCGGTCTGTATTGTGCAGATTAAGTCAACTGAACTTTTGTCTCAAATTCAAATTAAAATAATCGTAGTTAATTGGTTTATTCGGATTGGTTTGCCGAATTATCATAAATAATCGAAATAATATGTTATTTATATTGAACATATATTTAATATGTTAATAATTTTATTTATTATTTTTGGTTGAAGAATCTTGAGTTCGGTCGATTTCGATCTTTATTGTGCAACGTAATGTTTTTTAAAGTGCAATGTGTTGGTCTATAAAGTGCATCATGTTGATGTATAAAGTGAACTACTGTAAGTTTGGTACGTTGTCATGCTTGTGTTTAGTGCGAATAAAGATGTGATTGCTGTTAAAGTATTATGTATATCCGTTTTTTATATTTATGTTGCATGCATTTTTGGTAGTAAGCTATTGACGTTAATTATAGAGTGTAGTGATAAAGTGCAACGTGTTGTTTTATAAAGTGCATCGTGTTGTTTTATAAAGTGCAACATGACATTCACTAATGTTCAATCCGTATAACACTACTTTGCACTCGAAACAAAGTTATTATTTTTATTGATTTGTCTAAACTCAAATTGAGAACATAAATAACCGGTTTATTTGATCGGTTAATCAAATTAAGCTAAATAGTCGTAATAATTTGTAATTTAAATTATAAAAGATATATATAGTATTGTATTTTTCTATTTAATTATTATTAGTTGTTGTATAAAAAATAATATATATACTTAAAAAAAGCAACTGTAATATTTTTATATAGTTTGTTCATATCTGTTAGCTCGCTTGTTTTAAAAAAATAATGACGATTCTAAAAGTAAAATACACAATATATGAAATACCAACATTAACGATGTGCATTTCCATAAAAAATAATGTGCATTTAGTCTAATATTATTGTGCAATCGATTGAGCGGGTAATTTTTACGTGCATTCCAATTTTAAAATAT